CCTTTAATTTTTAATCTAGCATCAGCTGGTCAAAATTTCAATTTGTCTAATACTTTGGATTGTGACCAAAAACCTGCAAAACTAATGGCATCCCCACTAGCCTCAGCTGTATTTTGTGTTCAGAGCTAATACAAATATAATAATAATTTAATAACAAATGTTAGCATGCTCAACTAAGGTAGTGAACATGGTTAACATACCTGTCACACAATATATATAATATATAATATATATATTGATGGGCTAAATATGGGCTGTTGTGGCTCAGATGGTAGAGCGAGTCAACATCTAATCAGAAGGTTGGGGTTTGATCCCCGGCTCCTACCGCTGCATGTCAAAGTGTCCTTGAGCAAGATACTGAACCCCAAATAGCTCCTGATGCTGTGCGTCACTGTTGCATTGAATAGAAATGTGGCATTAGAAATCAACAAATAGTTTTATTTCAAAATGTCTTTTTTCATTGAACTTCACCCTTTCACTTAGTATACTATAAACTAAGTATACGCTTCGCACTGTTTACATCCAGTATTCACAGCAGGTGTGGTAGTAATTTGTGCCTTGTTGATATGACACTAACCACATAATAAATCTTTGCAGACTTCCAAATCAGCATATTGATTTCACTGCTCTTTAAAGGTTAAAAAAAAACTGACACTGTTTAAATAAATCAACATGCAAACGATGAAGTTGAGTCATAGCAGTGTGGTTCACTTCTGGCTCATCACTGTATCAAGTCTCTATTTCACATTCCATGCAAGCATGGGCATCAGCACTCCAGAGTCATGCTGGGAGGAGGATGTGGACTAAGCACAATCTTCAATGTGCTTCCCCTTTCATATTGTTGGATAAATTAAATGCAGCCATAAAGATGTGTGCGTTAGCTTTAAAATATGTAGGCCCGCTGGCTTCTGGTCCGATCCTTGTTTTAATTGAACTGTTGTACATGGTGGCAAAATTCACCCTTGGCCATGTTTTACTTACTTTTCCACTCCTTCAGATCCATCTTTCAGCACTCTTTACATTGTGATCCATGCAATTTCTCTCCCATTATTTTGAATCAGTCCCTTGTTCCTGGTTTGACCGCACAATTTTTACTCTGTCTACTGTCTCCTGAATGAGGTCGACCACCAGACTCCCACTTTCGCTCTGCTCCTTGGTCTCCTCCAGCACAACGCTCCAGCAGCCAAACCACAAGCCTCAATTACCCAGCATTCCTTGGAGAGCATGAGAGAGGCCTCATGTAGCAGACTATGAAATTAACATTCATGACAAACCTCTTAAGCCACGAAACTATTTCATGAGAGCAACAGTTGCAGAATTTCATCATTGACAAAAAGTCATCTCGTCACTTTTTTTTGTTTTACAGGTTTCTGTTTTCTGACAAAGGATAGGAACTGTCATGATACTATTCTACCCTAAAAAGCCAAATGCTGTAACTATACATTTAGTAAAAATGTTTCTAAGGCCAGAATCTGACTTTATTTTACCATATAAAATGATTTTATCCCATTGAAATAAATAATTTCAAAGAAAACAGCATGTTAAATGTGCGGTTACAGCAAAACACAGCTAAAACCAGTTCCAGTCAGTTAAATCTAGCGGGAGATAGCCACAACTGGCACTGCTAAATCTAGTTTTCCCAGATAATTAGCTGTTTCCTGTAACTGAAATCAATTGGGTGAACTAACATCTTGAACTAACTTATCTCACATAAATGAAGCAGAACCAGAATATAGTCGTGGAGAAAAAAAAACTGCCAAATTATTCCCGTAGATAACAACGGCTCGTAAACAAAAACATAACAATACTTACTTTCAGGTGAAAACATACTCATACTATATACACCGATCAGCCATAACATTATGAGCACTGAGAGGTGAAGTGAATAACACTGATTATCTGGTTATCATGGCACCTGCACCGTCAGTGGTTTGGGATATATTAGGCAGCAAGTGAACATTTTATCCTCAAAGTTGATGTGTTACAAACAAGAAAAATGGGCATGATGAGGATTTGAGCGACTTTAACAAGGGCCAAATTGCGATGACTAGACGATTGGGTCAGAGCATCTCCAAAACTGCAGCTCTTGTGGGGTGTTCCCGGTCTGCAGTGGTCAGTACCTATCAAATCAAGAAAGGTGCCAGAACACACAGTGCAACGCAGTTTGTTGCGTATGGGGCTGCATAGCTGCAAACTGGTCAGGGTGGTCATAATATTATGCCTGATCGGTGTATAGATTTATAAATGTATGTATAATGTATATTCCATTTCTGTCAACAGATCCTCCAAAATGTTACACACTGAAGCTTTGAAAGAACTTATTAATAATGCATCTTCCCCATTCCTTAAAGGGACATTGTGTAGTGTTTTAAGTATTTTATTAGCTAAAATCAATGTCTTCATTCATAAATGTAACCTCATTGGTGTAAAATTATCTCTGCCAATAATCTGACTTATCCTCGTAAGCGAAGAATTTCTTATCTGTATAAACATTGGACGGGCAAGTCCATGGAGGCTTCCATGTCGTTCCGCCATTTTGAAAAACTATAATCGCCGAGAGGGACATAAAGCACAAACCTACCTGTCGAGCTAATCCACAACGCGTTTTCGTTCAGAGCCAGCGTCACGTGACTGAAACCAGCTATAACGGAGAAGGAGACCAGTGAGAGGCGCTTGTCACTCCCCCGGCACATTTGAAAGTCTGCACTGCATTTCAGTTAATAATGGAGGATCATACTTATGCCAACCACAGGAGAAGGAATCCTCGTCGCCAAAAAGTGAAAAAGGGAATTAAAAAGGCAACGTGACTTGCAAATTCAAAAAACGAGGGTAAACATCGGGGTAGCTTTTCCCAGGTGGAAAGAGCTAATGAAGGAGAAAGACTTTCAAAGGTACGCTGAAGTTGCCTGCTTTCTCCTCGACAGGTAGGCTTCTTGGTACATAACGGCTACCGTAGTTGCAATACGCATTTGAAAACGCGAGGCACTAGAGAGCAATATTCGCTTGAATGCAAAATACAATTTCACCGATGGGAAAAATTCCTACACAATGTCCCTTTAAAGTTTTTCTAATAGTCATTTAGTTTTTGTTGTAAAATGATAAGTAAATAAGTTTGGTTCCTACTTGTGCAAAATAATACATTTGCTTTAAATAATTGTTTTACAGAAATAAGAAGCACGTCGATTAATCATCTAATTTGCATGTACAGGTTACTGCATGCAGGGCATGAAATATAAGCATACAAAATGTATTTCTTTCTTTTACAAACGAACTCAGACAGATTCATAATGCATAGACAGGGATTTTAATGTATGTTTGATTTACAAATCTGTTCAAAGCACAAGTCACTGGCTTTCACACTGAGCACTAGTCACTTTTCAACAACCCATGATGCATTGCATCTGTGTATACCGTTGCTACTGTAGCCCACAACAGCAGCTCTTGAAAGGCAACATATTTATGGTACAAATACTGATTTGTACAACAAATCACACACTGGTCATCCTTTAAAAGTGGTTGATGAGCGATCAAAGGAGAAACCTTCACACAAATCATCTCTTTCCTTTAGGTTGGTGTACTGTCAAATCCTTGAATGAAATGTAGGCCTATGTGCTGTAAAAATGCTAATTATCAATGCAAAAGCTGCTGTAATTGATCTAAACACCCTGTAGTTAGGTACTGTTAAGGGCAAGTTCGCTATCTCCCCATTCCCTAACTGTGCTGCTAATATCACTCCTGCTATTTTCCTACCACGCTGGTTGAGTGGTGAGGTCATGGGATACTACTTGGTTATGTATTTCATCGCTTGTTTCACTGCACTGGAATGTAAAAATCCTTCGTTTTCCGTTTCCACAAAACAAGAACAAACACTCAGTTCTGTTGTTTTGGTTGTTATATCCTCACTCACACCGCTCAGTTATAACCAACTATTCTCTTAATATCTCAAGGGACCTTTGCACCTTTGGGAGTGGGTGTGCTGAACTAACAGAAGGAGTTGGAATATGTAAAAAACATTGTATATTAATACTACAAAATGAATCATCATTAGGCAGATAACAGGGGCTAACTCAGACTGCAGGAGTTTAATGAAAACATTGCTTTCATTATCAGGAGAGTCAGTCAGTCTGCCAATATCAATAAGACTGTGGATAACGACTGCGTCCACGTGTCAGCTTTCCTGTGCTTGTATGGGTCTTCCTCTATCACATTAATTCATGAGGTACAAACAATTCACACTGAAAATCCCAGAACTTTTAGCTCCGTTTTATAATTTGGAGTCACCAGTTACATTACTGTCCAATAAACTACAATGCATACCCAATAGAAATGCAGAATAAAGCTCAAAAACACTTTTTGAAGCAGCACATTGAACTTGCTTTAACCAGCTGAAACATTATTAGAGCTTTTGTTGCTCTTTACTCATCTACAAGACAAGCTTTGAAGACAACTCTGAACTTGTTAAAGAGTAAAACATATAACAAAATCTCTGCCTTTACCAGCACTCAGCTCATGACAACTGTAACATTATCACAAGTAGTGTACACACTATTTATTGTTGATCGTGAGATTCACAAATTTCAAGCCATGTCATGCAAGCATAATCAGTACCAAATCACATCAGTACCAAATGTCTATACTGTAGTATCAGAAAGAGAGTGAAACATGTAAAAAGAAACTGAGGATGGAGTGATCAGAGGATGGATGATGCTCATGTTGATGAGCCGTCCTACACGGTCCCTCAGTTCCTGACTAACAGCTCCCGAAATGACGTATAGAGGATTCAAACAAATGTGCATGAAGCTCTTTTACATCTGAAACACTGTAGAGCAGAAGATTCTTCATCAAATCCAGTAAAAGAACCAACACTGCTACATGTTTGTCAGTGCTTATTTTTAGAAAAGAGTCGGATGAGTGAAAAATTAATACAGAGTACGTACTCCTAATGCACACACAAACATTAAAAGCAGTAAGTGATCCAGTAAAGATGAAGTGAGTCGATCTGATGCATATTCACATTCTTTAATCCAGGTTCTTTCTAAACAGGCTGCGTGTGGAGGAAATGTGCCTGTAGAAGATGAATGTAAGAATAAAAGGATTGTAATGACAGTACGATTACAGTACATGGTAACAGATGCATATCAAATGTTGGTAGTTTATTTTTTTGCATTCACACAACCTACTTAATTCTACTACAGCCTAGTCTTAAGGATGGTTAAGCACACTGATCCATGCTTTTTAAGGTTTGCAAAAGGTTTTTTGCACAAAGTGTACTGTGGGATTTGTACTTAAATAAATGAACACAGTTCTTTATTATGTGTGTCAGAGAGAGAGAGAGATAGAGAGAGAGAGAGAGAGAGAGAGAGAGAGAGAGAGAGAGAGAAATGGCAAATGACACTTCTTTTAATAAATGAGGTTCCTGATTACCCTCCAGAAAGGTTTTAAAAATTTTACAGTTGGCTTTCCCATTTCATATCATAATATTGATGTAATTTCCATTTAATTTCCATTCACCAAATAACAAAATACACTTGACCATAATGGCAGTGTACAGTGTGCGCACAGCCCCCCCTCCCCCTTTGAGATTACAGTACTTTACTTTAACACAAAAAGCATAAAACTGCATTTTAAAGCTGAAAATGTGATACATACAAAATATGAAGTTACAGCAAGAGTCTGTGCTGCAAGAACTCCGCAGAAAGAGACCAAATATTTCAGAAGCTACCCGAAAATAAACCCATCATTACTGTATATCCTAAAGGCACCTTAGACAAAGATATATCCCTGTGGTTAAAGAGGTTTGGGGTTAAAAAAGGAGAAGGGAGAAGCCTTTCCCTCTCAAAAAACCTAACCACAGCATGGAAACGCTATATCGCCACAAGAGAGGCTACGTAGATGGACTTTTCATTGCATAAACTATGTTGATACTGATTGTCTAAAAGCATGACTTAAAGACAGAATGCAGTAAAATTACAAAATTTGACTCAATTTCATTTAAAATACGGCAAAATATCAAAACGCTCTTTGTCTTTCCACCTTAACAAACTTTGCACAACACTCCATCATTTGCATTGTACTGCATTTTCTGCAACAGGGTATATTTCTAAGATAACAAAACATGCATGGGGGAAACTCTCTCCTGATCGTGCAGATATTGTTTCTAGATTTACGCTCCGAAGTCTAATGGTAGGAGGTTAAAAAGACAACACAAAAAATATATAAAACAATTAAAACAAACAGACAGGTTGAATCATGAGTAAAAACAGTGTCCAACAAGCTCTGTCCTGCTTCGGCAAAAACAATCCCCCTGACATGCTGGTGGAGGAGTTTATCTTCCCCTCCTTCCTTTGTATCCTCTCCCTATTTCAACTCATCCCAAACTACCAGCCCAGTCTGTAAAAGTAATCCTCTCTGGTACATCATCATAATTATCATCTCCCTCCTCCTCCTCCTTTCATTCCATTTTATGTCTTCCTTCTCAGGCTGGACAGGCTTGCTCCCCCTGCAGGCAAGAGGTTGGAATGACGCTGTATTCCTAACCAGATAAGGGGGGAGATAGTGCCTCTGGTTCCACCGAGGGGGTTAAAATTGGAAAGTCACTGGGATTGATTAGACAGGTACATAGAGCAGGCGCAGGGGTCACACCCTGCTGGTTGGGTGGCAGCGGTAGGTGCAGTTGGACAGAGGGTCAGCTCCGCTCTCGACATTCTGGGGGCACCCTCCTTCACAGCACGCTGGGAGACAAAGAGGGCGTACTATCAGTGCTGTTTGTCATTAGAGGCACTACACACGTTACACTGTGTGTGAGGTTAACAAATAACTCCTGTACCTGCGTCTTCCAGCAGATGAGTTCGGCAAGGACTGGGGTTGGGTCCTTCGTGACTGGTGCCCAGCTGGAGGCGCCTCATGTGACGAACCACTGCTGTGGCATTAAATGCTTGCTGTAGAGAAAGACACAAATGGAATATTTATAAGTAGACCAACTGGGACCTGGGCAGCAACTTAAAGCAGGGGTTAAAATGCTTAAAATGAAGCCATCTTACTTGCTATTTGATTTCATTTTATATGTTTTTAGAGGCCCTAACGGTTAAACTACATTATTTAGCTAGAAAAGATTTGTCATCATTTTGTGGCCCCATGGATTCATCTTACAATCCTTGAGGGGGTCCTGACATTAATGCTTCTAACAATTCCCAAAAGTTAAAATGAAAAAAGGCTGTACTGAAGTGATTCCTGAAGTTCAGACCAAGGCAAGACTTTTTATTGTATCTGAAGTGTATTCTCTCTATATGCACTAAAGGGCATAAATCATGCAGATAAGAAAATCAAAGTGCATCCAAGATAAAATGGAAATCTTCCTTACCTTCCACTTGCTCTTAGCAAAATTCTTTTTGATCTGAGCACTGACAGACTCATGGATGTTCTTATCCAGAGCAGTATCCTCAGCAATCCTGAGAAACAGACGGGTAAGGAAACGTAAGAGTGTGTCTGTGCAATGGATGGAAATCACATGGACAGCCTCAGCCATAATCAGAATTTTTTAAGTGTCAAGAGCTGCATAATATTCTCATCCCAGATTAGTTAAAAAAAAGAAAATCACTGAAGGTTGAGTGTCAAGGTTTTAATCAGACAACAGGAATATTCTTTGTAATGTGAGTGCATCATGACAGTGTAGGACCAGTACCAAGGATGCTGCAGAGCCTGGTCACAGGTGTAACGTACGTTGGGGTCTTTCTCCATCAGGTGGAGTATAAAGTCTTTCGCTATAAGGAAAAAGAAAGGTTCAAAAAGTAAATATTACAAAAGTCACCAGTCGCACTAAATTGATGCAGTCTATTTATTTATGCAAGCCCATACTACAACATCAGTTTAAAACTGGAAACCGATAAAGATAATAATATTTCAGTTTCTTACTGCTGTAAACAAGAGAAAACACATCTTGAGTTGAGTTCTAATATTGTAGAAAACTGCATCGATTATATCATTTTTTCTAAAAGTTGGAGATCCCTGCTCAGGGAAACAGGGACCCAGTCCAAGAACTATGACTGGGAAAAAAATCAACATGGGATCATTGCCTTGGTTTGTAGGCTCAACACCTGGAAGGTGAAAGGTAGGGATCGAATAAAATATTTCCTGGCTTAGACAACTTGAGACATCACTCTCGCTGTATGAGAAAGGTATCGCCTGGCTCTAGAAACAATCTCCTGGATAAGAGGTAGTCTCTGTCTTGTACTTGTCTGGGACTTGCTCAGGTGGGTGGATGCTAACAAGCCCTGGCTGCCTACCGCAGTGTTGGGTGTTTTTACTGCTGGATGAGAAAGACTGTGTGTAGCAGAGAGTAAAACTCAATTCTTGTTTGTACATCAATGTGCCATGTAAGAGTTTCAATTCTTTGATGGTTTTTACTGTCTGAAGAGAGACATGCCTGGTGAGAAACCATTTCAGTTTAAACTTGGAGATTTCATTTAAATTAAAATTTTTAGGTAATTAGAATTTTGCTGCATATAAAAAAGTTTTCCACTTGCTTCTTCTGACATTTGTGTAATTGAATATTCATTGTCAGGTTCAGAGTGGTTTTCACAACTGCAAGCAACATTAAAGAAAGTTTTAGATTTTTTTTTTTACAGTTTTTCCATGTGTGAGCTCTGGAGTCTCTGTTCCACCTCTCGCATTTAATCACAAGCTTTGGGTTGTGGCTGAAAAAATTACATCGCCGGTATAAGCAACCAAAATTAAATGCATACCATAGGAATGTAAAGATATATCACAAGAGTTAAACTGTGATACAAATATGTGAAGACTCAAATTGGTGAGATGAAAAATGAATCAATTGTGAGTTGAGATATCAATTGTGATATAAAGAAGCTAGGCATCAGTTTCACTTTTATAAAGAAATATGCATTGTTTTGCAGTTTAGACCATACCTCCGAAATGAAAAAGGATTCCATAATTTGATAAAGAGAAATAAAAGAGAAAGCGTATCTGGAACATTTAAACACATGATATGGGACTGCCCAGAAGTATATGACTTCTGGAGGAAAGTGACATTAACTCTATCTGATATAACTGGTAAGCCCCTGGAACCAATTCCTCTTTTACTAAACGATGACTCACACTGAATTGAGTGAGAACGTACGTTGTAGCTCGCTGGACTGACTGCAGCCAAAACAACTCATAGTCTAGGGTTGGTTACCACCGCACAAACTATACACTAGAAAATGACTGGAATATTTTCAAGATGTGGTTATGTTAGGGGTAAACAAAGCCAACGCCATTATGTTGGAAATGTGGAAAGGAGCTGCCTCTGTAATAGCAGAACTATTGAGGACTTGGACCATGAATTTACATTAACAGTGTTAGTTTGAACTAAAAGGGGGGACTAGTATATGTATTTCTGATGTATTCTGTGTATTTGCAATTAAAAAAAAGTCTCTTTGTGAAAAAAACAAAAAACCTAAAAATTGCGAGGAAATTATATTGTAAACCAAGTATTGTGAATTGTTTCGAATTGTGAGTTGTGTGTATCTTTACATCCCTAGTCTCCCATAGAGTGGCTGACCTCACTCTGTGATAAAGTAGGGAGTTCAGCAGGGAGGGAAGAAGGTGCTATTAGGCCACTGCTCAATAGATGTAGAGGAATTCAGTAGGTTGGTTTAACTTTGAATATATTGGACAGAACTAACTAGAAGGAATATTCAAGGCAGACCCAGGGACAGTTTATAAGCTTTGATCATTGTGTCCCTTTACTGAACACATGTTTGCTGTTTCTCTGTGAAAAATCTACATAATGCTGCTATGTACTGTACCTGAATCAGAGATATCGTCCCAGTAAGGAGAATCAAACTCGTATTCTGCCTTCAGGATCTGTTCAAACAGTTTGGCATCATTCTCGTCATAGAACGGAGGGTAACCGCACAACCTGAGACACACAGAAGAGCACACACGTCAGGTTTCCTCACAGACGTGCAGGAGCTTTACGACTAGAAGCATCCCAGGAAGTTACTGAAGTTATAAAGGCTGACCAAGGTACAAATGACATGACTATTAAAATACGGTTTCAAAGCCAAATCTCTATAATTCATGATAATAATAATAATGATAATAACAATAAATGTCTTAAAAAGTGTACTTACAGAATATAGGCTATGACACCAATTGACCAGCAGTCCACTGCTTTACTGTAGGGCTTCTGAGCCAGCACTTCAGGGGCTGAAAAAAACAAGGTAATAGGCACATATTCAGCACTATATATGCATCAACTGTAAAAATCAATGTTACTGTAGTTGAGAACTGAGTGAAATCAAACTGCTATGTAAAACTGATAAATTACAAACAGATTTATTAAAGACAGTATCTGATGTCTTTACCAACATATCCAGGTGTCCCACAGGCTGTTGACATCACACTGCCAGAGCCCTCAATTTTAGACAGACCGAAGTCACTGATCATGATTTTGGAGTCTTCGTCCATGCTGTAGTACAGCAGATTCTCTGGCTGCAGTGAGGAGGGACACGACCATGATCAGAGATGTTTATAAATCATGCAAAGTTTTCTCCTGAACACAGAAATGCAGACAGGCCTCCACCACCACATGTACTCGGTAATAACTAATCTCCATAAAAGGATTATATGCTAGTGCAGAAGGGATTACAAAGGCAATGCTAAAGTCAACTTCTGTTTACCCAGCAAAGCTATGATGGAAAAATACAGATACCTAGAATTTCACTATTTATGACTCAAGTTAAAAATTCTCAGGCCCAGACTGACCTTGAGGTCACGGTGCACAATGCCCATGTCGTGGAGGTATTTAACGGCATCCAGAATCTGCTGAATGAGCTTACTGGCATCTTTTTCTGTGTAGAAGCCCTTCTCTATGATACGGTCGAAGAGTTCCCCGCCAGACACCCTGGATAAAGAGGAAGAGATTCATATATCAAAGTGCAGAATGGAGACAATAACAAGAGTGGACTAATATTTCAGGAAAAAGTGGAGCCCAGTGATTGGCCAAGACAACTTAAGATTTTACTTGTTGATGGTTGCAACAGAGAAATAGTATGAAATGGCACGGTCTGAACGTATTATTTTGAAAATATTTGTGGACAGAAAGGTAGACTGCGAGTATGAGACAGAAAGAGCATGAGGGAAATATAAGATACTTTGTTAACGTTATTTATTGTGTTAATGTTATTTAATAAAAATTCCAGTTCTTCTATCCACTCCAACAGAAAATATTTTTTTTTACCGTAAAAGGAGGAAGTAAGCATTTTTCCAGTGTTGACACATGGCCAGTGTCAGTGCAACACAGTTAAGTAGCATGTTTTTGCTGTGGTTTTCTGTCCTTTTTTTATTTAAGGAAACTTGTTCAAAGTAGTAAATAACTGCTATATATATTTCTTATGAAATGTACTATAGTTATAATAAAGATGTAAAGACAGAAGCATTTATTGTGGGAGTCAAAAAGCTCCACAGTGGTGTGACTGAAACCACATACAGTGTGACGATGTCTGCTTGATATTAGACTAAGAAGCCACTAGATGGAGACTTCACTCCATCTAGCTGCAGCAGTTTGTTTGAGCCTATTACGACACACACACACACACACACACACACACACACACACACACACACACACACACACACACACACACACACACACACACACACACAGGGTGTTACATGAAAGAGTCATGAATCAGAGGGAACATTGCAAGGACACAAAAACTGTTTATGAGGGAACACAAATATATTGCAGGGGAAAGCAATAACTACTTCTGATTAATGCACATCCTCCCTCCATGCCTCTGTTTTTATCTTTCTGATTTGCCATTGACTGTGATTAATGCATGAACGATTAATGTTTTCTGGAGCTCCTGATCCTGATCTGTCCTTTCTCTTATTCTCTCTCTCTCACTCTCTTTCTCACTCTCTCTCTCTCTCTCTCTGACATTTTAGTAGTTGAGGTGGGTGGGAGGCTGACAGGCTGCAGGTGTGAGGGTGAACTCCCCACTAGTGTTCATGAGTAGGCACAGTACAATGTTTGCCTGTGTGCATGTGTGAATTCACGCATATGCCAGTGTGTTATAGAGTGCAATTAATGGCATGTGACATGTAGTGTGTGGGAGATAGCACAAGTAGGGAGTTTGAAACACACATTGCAGGAAGAAAAACTAGTCACACAAACCCACACATGTGAATACTCACAGTTGCATGACAAGGTAGAGGTGCGATTTACTTTCAAATATCTCTTCCAGAGATACAATGTTGGCATGTTTGATCCTGTGAAGGAGAGAAGAAAAAAAGAACAATGAGGGATGAAGTTCATATTAATAACTCTACTAGTCATTTTTATTCAGCAATTAGTATTTCATCAGATTTTGTCTGCAGGAGGCAACAATAATCTCCCTGGGTGTCATGAGAATTCCTTGTTTGGAGTTAGAAATCTTTTCCAATAGGCAGGACAGTCATTGTGTGTACCCGCCGCAGAGCTTCATCCAGCAGTCACGTGTACTTCTTACTGACTGTAGAGGAGGCTACGCTGTGTGGTGGAATGCAGTTTACTAATTGGCTGAACTCTGTGCTCTCCTGCCCCTTGACACCCGTGGGCGCAGTCACAGGGGTGAGAAGATGACTCACTACATATAGACTGGTACTTCTCTGTCTGACCTGTGTGTAGTATTACCACTGACTATAATACTCAGTGGCCACTTTATTAGGTGCACCTGTACAATCTAATGCAAGCCAATAGAACGGCCATAAATTCCACTTTCCACAATTTCTATTGTGTGTCTCATTATGTACAACAAACTGGGTCAAGAGTCACGTGATGTTAACATTCAATACTGAAAGACATTGCAAACATTTTGTGTATTTACCATTAATTGTTATTTACTTTGAGGAACTGTGGTGCATAATGAGCAGCTCATTTATGTTTCTGCTTGGAGCACCTTGCTCTTCACAACAGGACCTTGTTTATTGTAAACTACAATGACTAAAGTTTCTTTCTGCACCAGGAAACACAACAATTAGAGATTATATGAGGATGTAACATACGTTTAAACTTTAAACCATCGACATATATAAACATGGACAACCTGATAGCTCTCCAAAAGTGAAGCCAAAACATCTCGATCGCACCCTGGTGGCTGACTGCAGCATAAGTCATAATGCCCACTGCCTCCATGTTAGCAGATGGGCCAAACTAAAAAAATCTAAGTAAACATAAAATACATTTTGATGGTTTCTGGAATTTTAGGTACTTCTAATCACATTGATGTATGTTCAAGTGTTGATTTTGAGTTATTTGAAGCCATATAACCATTTCATGGTTGTTTCACCTTCCACCATTGATAAATGTAGGGTTGCTTATTAAAAGCATTTGCAAAGCTGATTTTTAGAATATTTTAAATCATGCATTGTTTATATTCGTGTTTGTTCTCAACTCTAACTTTTCTCATTTTGCCTTTTGCCCTGATCATTCACTCTGTGTGTTTGTGTGTAACCCGTTCATATAATTTGCCTTAATGCCTGCACTATGAATGTGTGTTTGAGGGTTACTGGGTTGACTTGAAGGTAGGAAGACAAAGACAACATAGAGCCATGTGTCTGAGTCGTACTAGAGGTATCCGTTTATGCGTCAGCCTGAGCTCATGCTGGATTACAGCGATGACTCTTATCCAGATTGAAACAATGCATGGACACCTTCATTTGTCTGCTTAGCTCAGTGTACAAGGAGAGATAGGACCCAGTGAAGGATGAATGACGGATTAAACCTGCTGAGTGAACAGACACGTGTGAATGCATGTGAGCTCAAGCATGGACTTTTACACACAATTTTACAGAAGGTCAAATACACACAGTAAAGGTGCTGCATTTAACTTTCTGTGTGTTTGTGTGTGTGATGACCTTATGGTGGACACTGGTCATTGTGACTGTAAGAGAGCTGAACTGAGGACCGGTGATCTGCTGACCTCTGTCAGCACACGTGGGTCTCTCAGGCCACCAGAACATACAAGTCAGCAAATTAGAGAACAGAGTGTCCAGCTCTGCAGCCAGGAACAACTACATCTGACATCTGAGACCATGAATTAATGCTTCTTACAATATCTGCGGCATCTTAAAGTTTCTGTGGTGGGAGGAATGTTTCCTAAAAAGCAGATAGCGCTCTCTATTACAGTAATCACTTTAGCGATAGTTCCTTTCTCGAGTCTGCAGGGATTCAGTTAAGTGAAGAGAATAAGATGCCCTCTCTGTTATCTTCCCCTGTTAACCGCATTACAAACTCGTGTTTCTGATTTACATGATGTTTTAAAATTCTGGTTACTGCAGAAAAACTGTAATATGATAATATGTATTGTACATGTAAATGTAAAGAATAGTACATAACATCGGTTAAGATTTTCATGGAGTAATGAATGCTCTGTGTCCCACAACTTTCAGGCCCAAAACATAACACGCAACAGGATTGGATTCAGAAGCAGTTATAATAACAGTTATTTGGAGTTCAACAATAATTGAGCTGGATCCAATTGACATTTCTAGCTCCAACACATGTTTCAAGTATGCGATAAAACCATGTCAATATGACTTTTTAGATTTTAAACTGAGCCTCCAGAGCAACTTCACACAAACTCCTCTGATTGGCACAGCTACAAATAACTTAGCAGAGTGTGATTAGTCACTGTATTTGCACGTCCTGTTGAGTAAATATTTGGTCTAGATAAACTGGGAAGAGGATAAACAGTCAGCTAACCGATGTGATAATATCACATGGCTTCATCAGTAGTATATTAGGCTGGGCAGCCATCTCACCATCAGTGATTAGAACAGAGATGAGTTGATTAAGTGTATCCAATGAGGATAATCTGCCTCTGCAGCTGGACCAACACAAACTGGGCCATTAGACACTGAATTAATAATAAACTTCTTTATACAATTCAAATCAAAACACTGGTTCAAGTGCTTTACACAGGTCGGAAAAATTAGATAAACACCAAGAAATTAACAGCAAGGGTCATTAAGAAAAAGTCAAGATGACAGGTTTGGCTCTGGCATCACAAGAAGGAGGAAGGCGGCTTTTTGTGTGCCAACTGTCTCATGTGGTCAAAAACAAGAGAGCAGGTTCAATTCACTATAAATGTGATTCAATTGTGCCACTGTACGGCTAAATTAATAATTTGGGAAGAGATTAAAAACAGCTATTATCAGTATTTCAGACTGATTGTTAGTTGTATTCAAACAGCTGGCTATGGGTACATCTTTAACTAGACTGAGTGGGCGGAAAATATATATTTTTTAATCTGTTGATTTCATGACCTTGCAAACTAAAACAAATAGGCAAATGTTTAGATATTACACCTGGTCAAAACTCCAGACAACATCTGGTTCTTAACTTGTAAATACTTCTGGAAATAAGACTGATTAAGATTAAGAGCGGTGAGACGAGAATCTAAACAGTAACGTTGTGATCCGTAGAACCAAAACACAGCATAGAACAAAACAAGGATCTGACAGACTGCAGGACTGAGGGGAGCTGCGAGTCGAGTGATAATTCTCTGTGGGTTCATCACTATGAGTCATTCACGTTACAGGTAGTCATTTGATCCATTGTTAATACAAAAATGTTGATTAGTGTCTTTTTGCCTTTTTATACTGTCAGACCCTGTCACCAGGCTCTGTGTCCTGAGGGGGAGTTGAGGATGATGTGTTAAAATGAGTAATGAAACCTTTGTATGAGTCTAAACAAACAGGCAAACTTCAGGCCAAGTTTACCTCAGTTTACTGCGTTTGTCAAATTTGTAACCGAACTGTTAACTAACCCCCACCGCTCTCATTCCACCATCCTCACCTCAGGAGGGATCATAGCTGTATATTGGCTAGAGTTGTGTCTCCTGTAACCCAGGCAACAGGAGTTCTAAAAATAACTTGGGACCCAATGTAGATCAGCCATTTTCACCATGGCCTGTAATTCCCCACATCTAAAGAGAAGTACGTTTGAACTGCTCCACAATTACAGGGAGTGTTATTGTCTCTTGCCTTTGTCTTGTCTAATAAAACAACTCTTGCACAGGTAGAGTGAAAAAATGGGCATATGACTCCAGATTACAAGCAAAACCACTTATATTTGCAATATGACTATTATAGAAACAAGGTACTTTAACTGTATTGTCACTGAACAATTTGTACAGCATTGTGAAGAGCTAATTAACGTTTTATTGTGCTATACTAAATAAGTTGACTAATATATGTATTACTACTGTATGTAATGCTATTACGTTTAACAGACGTTTAATCAGACTTAAAAACTCTTTCGTCCCCCTGGCCATCAGACTGTACAACAGCTCTTAGTCAAGGCAGGGAGGACAATAGACAATGGACAATTTCCTCCTCCATTTGCACTATTTTCCTGGACATTCTTTCATTCACTGTCATTTCTGACTCCATATGCACTACCTCTGCTAAATGCTTTGACTTTCATTCACTGGTCGACAGCCTAATTTTAAATTGCACATAGTTTAATAAAAGCTATTTTATTTATAAAAGCTATTTTATTTCTACTTTTACTTTTTGTATAGTTCTCTATTTTAATGTATGTTTAATGTATGTCTATTGTATGTTTGTATGCTGTTACTGGATGCTTGAATTTACCTCGAGATAAATAAAGTATCTAGCTATCAAACATAATGATGCTCACAGCATTGAAGTTGAAGACTAGCAGAAAGTAGTTCCAATGAAAACTCTTGACAGACAGGTCTGCGGTTTTTCCAGATTAACCATAAACACAAGCTACTGTTGAGCTTTAAAATCATGTCATTTGAGCACCACATATTAAATTCTCTTCCCCGCTATTGTACTGCACCTGGGCAAATAAAACTAAAACTATCCGGATGTCAAGGTACCAATAGGCCTTCGTGAGAAAATGTTTTCTCAATCTCAATAATTCAATTTCTTAATAATTTAATTGAATAAGCCCTTTAATTCCCCATACTGGGTATGTGTTGTTTCTTGACTGAATATATGGGTATAAATATATCTATCCAAGTCTGATGCATATTACATACACCATAGTGTGTCGTATTACTACAGTATATATATATTTATATCATATATATGACATATATGACATCCAGTAATGTGATACAACTAACATGATGCAGTAATGGAGATACAGTGATGAAAAATTTACCATCTTAAACCTTGTGGCTAGTATTTCAGATGCAGTCTAATGCTGCACGAACATCTAAAGGTTTGTCTTACAGTACAGACTTGCTTAAAAAATGCAATTTTATTTGACATATAACTATACTATCAGGTTATATCAATTAACTAAGAAATATTGGCCCTATTATTATTATTTGATTGATTATCAAATCATAGAAGTCTACTTACTTGTGCAGGACTGCTATCTCGTTCTCAATGCTGGTTTCCTTGCCCTCTAATGCCTTCTTGGGGATGCACTTGATAGCCACCAATTTCTGGGTCCTCTTCTCCTCAGCCAGGACCACCTCAGAGAAAGCTCCCCTGAAACACAAACACACAATTCAGTCTGTCAGAACTCAGATCATCTTTGGGTGTTTAGTCAGAGCTCACCACATCCATCACTGACACTGTGGAGAAAAAAAAAAGGGAAACTCCTGCTTTGATGTTAAATTAGCCTAACTTTTGTGATAACTTGGCTGCTTTCATCTAAGTGCTGGTATAAATTATAGCCTGCTGATGCCAGATTGTGTTTATTTTTAACTTCAGCCTCATCCTGAAGTCTTTGGGTTGCTGCTGAGTCAAGCTTTGGAGAGGGAATGACTTGCTAGGATGATTTGGAAGCACAGATATCGAATGCTGAGCTTTATCTTTGATAATGGCCAATAAACTGCCCATCAATCAATTTGATTATTATTATCATTCTGTGGAAAATTACTGTATAGTAAAATGCCTCTTTTCCTTCTTTCAACATGCTTTACTGATGTTTAAGTTTATAATAATACTGCAAAAGCATCACATTAATCTATATGTACCATGTACGAAAATATCTTTAAATATGTGGACCTGTGTGTGTTAGAAGCATTGTTTGGATACCAGGCAGTGTAGGTCAGTAGTTTATATGAAGGTATATGTGTATGTAGATCGTACAGTTCAACATTGTTTAAGTTTAGACATACAATAACAGATCAGCTAACTCCATCCATTATTTAGTTTTAGCATAGTTGTGGACTTGTCTATGATAAACCAGGTATTTAAACTTAAATTTAACCTTCTAGTACTGTATGTTATATGCGTACAGATACCACTGCACAAAGTTTTATTCTAGGTTGTGACATGCTGAATGAAGTATGCACAGCTACTAGATCTGCCCTGACGCCTTCTTCAATAAACAAGTAAAGCAACATAACTCAAACTTGCAAAAAAAAAAGTTTAGCTTTTTCTTTTTCCCATGACCCATTTAACAGTAGAGACATTACTTACGACCTCTGGGGTTTTGGACAAGCTCCAGAGATTCTTGACAGAGGTCCAAGGCTGAACAATAACTATAATGGAAGCCTGACCCACAATTATAGGTTTCAAATAAACATTACACTTATATAGCAGAAGTAGTAGTGCAACTGCAATGAGATGTGGTATAGAAAGGAAATTAACTTCTAACATGACTACTGATTTAGTCGAGTATGAACAAAGTGTGAAAGAAATGCTGCTGTTGAAGGTAAAGCTGCATAAGAGCTTACATTACTCCTCAGCTGCATTAAAAAGTAACTTCCATATAGTCTAAAGTTTTGTGTTTATTGTGTGACAAACATATTTCTCCATACAGATGATTTAATGGTAAATAAGGTCAAGAGAAGGAGCTTCCACATACTGAGATCTGTTTACTCTATTTTAACACATACTGTACATGTTACCTTAAGACGTACAGGACAAACAGAGAATGAAAGAACACTGAAGTGTATATAAAGACATTCCAGTAATTGGCCCCAACACAAAACATCTGTGTATCCTACAACCAAGACCTTATGCTGCGTTCACGTCATATGGGATGGATTGCAGAGATGGGAAAGATTCTTATGTTTACGACTTGCATGAGCTCACTTCACTAGAAGACTCCAGACTGTTGTGTGTTTGCAGAGTTTGACACGTGAGGGTTAAAAATACTGTGAATAGACTAACATGAGATATCCGTATTTGTTTAGGATTTTCTGTATTTTTTCAAGAACCAAACGTGCTATATTGGAGCTTTCAGAAAAATTCCAGTCACAATTTTAACTTGGATATTAACATAAATGCTATTTATTATACAAGAAATCATGTATATATATTATATTTATATTTCTGTTTTTTTTTTTTTAACTGTTATGTTTATTAAGTTTTTTCCATATATACAAGAGACATATACAACAAAGAAAAAGCAATAAACATAAATAGAACAGTATCAACAGTCATGGCTGCAGGTGTCCATATCCTACAAAATCAGATTTACACAGTTTACAGTTCACATGTCTTTCGTTATATCATACAACACCCAGTTTTTCCACTTTGTAACAGAAACATCTTCCTTCAGTCGAAGTTGGTAAGTCATTTTCTCCATACAGTATATATCTCTTACAATCCCTTGCCATTGTTCTATGGTAGGAGATTCAGTCTTGTACCATTTCCTTGTTATTGTCTTCTTAGTCGCAATCAACAGTATCTTGACTATATATCTATCATTCCCAGTTACACTTTCAGTTATATTTCCAAGGTACATAGTTTTGCTTTCATTTGGTATTTCATATCCCAGTATGTCTTTAATTATGGCACCGACATCATCCCAAAAGGAGCGCAGCCTGGGCACATCCAGAAAATATGTGCATGGTTAGCTTCTTTGCTCCCACACGCCCACCAACATGGTTGTTCTGTAGAACTTTTATATTTCTGTTTTAAACGACAAGCGTTCACCAAAATGAGGTTACTAATTCTAGTTGGTAGCTCACAATAAGACTTACTGCATGTTTTTTGTTTAACCTTACATTTTACTGCCTTCTCCTGACTCAATAAGTGCCAACTACAAGGCCAATAAAATCTTCTTCACAATAAAGCCTTGTGATATGAACGTGCTGCACTGGATCCATATATTTACAGAGCTGAGGTATGGCTTCATCACAGGAGTGTCATACAAAACATAAAAAAATGTATTTTCATGGTTCACTTCAATTGAACAGAACAACCTTCTGGATAAGTGTTGTTGCATTTTTACAGGGAAGTTTGTGCACCAGAAATTCCTTACTTCCTCTAATGTTTTGCTATCAAGCAGTCATTCACTCTAAAGCAGCTTGTGGTGAACAATTGCATGTTTATTTTGGAACTGGCCATTATCTGCTTTTAGTGTACTAATAGTGCTGCCAGTAAATGCTGGAAGTATCAACAAGTTCAAACATATCCCACTAAAATGTGGTAGAAATGTTTAAGGAAAGTTTAAGGCTACAGTATGAACCCTAATCAAGTCATGTGGATCTCCTGCATTAAAAGAGGTGTGTGTGTGTGTGTGTGTGTGTGTGTGTGTGTGTGTGTGTGTGTGTGTGTGTGTGTGTGTGTGTGTGTGTGTGTGTGAGAGAGAGAATGTCAGCTGTCAGTTTGTGCATTACAGTATCTCTTCGGCCACTTATAGCTGCATGTGTGGGCAGAGAGGAACCATAACTGTCGAGTTGCTATGTTTGCAGATACTTTATCAGTTTTATAAACAACTCCTCTATGAACAGTTCAACTTCATTAAGTAGCTTTATCCCCTGGTTGCTCAGTTATAGTGGACTACACTCAATGTGGAAACAACTCATTTTCAATATTTTATTTTATTTTACAATCACAATATGTGAACCTGGATACTGGAACATTATTGATGTTAACACTGCCACTGTGTCATCTCTGAACTGGAAAGGGTTCTCTTTTACTCCGGCAGACACACACAAAAGTTAATCTTAGTGTATACAGAATAAAGTTTCTTTGTCTGCTGTATTTATACTGACTCCCTGACCAAACAACTAAGGTGGATTTGGTTATTTGATCTTCAATGCGTATATGTCTACACTTGAACTCTTTCAAGTCACTGTGGGGTTCTGAAGGTTTTCTGGTACTGCATGATTTTGTATTTTAAGAGCAGCCCTTTTAATGTACCAATATCCAAGAAACCCCAATATAGTCTTGCAAATGTCCCATGATCAACCCAAAAATGTAGAAACTCAAGCTAAGTGTAAAGGGTGTCAAAGGAAAGCATGTACAAATAATTATATATGGCAGAAGATACACTAGTTAAACAAATGGTTCCATAACACACTTTATACAGAGTGACCTACACTAGCTTCTCTGGTGTTATTAACCTTAAAGCTAACAGAACACTGAACCCATTTCCTGATCAAAGTAACAATTATCCTGGGAGTGAGGCCCCGTGGTCACATCTCAACAAGAAAGTAAAACTGCCATAGAAAGGCCATTAGCTTTGGCAGAAATCCAGCTGTGTGGAGGAGGTTGTCAGTGCTGCAAATTCCTGTGTAGCATCTGGAGGATTTAGTTGACATTCTCCATGCACCCACTGACAGACCAAGGGGCTCTGGGGAAGTGTCACACAGTGGTTCACACAAACATTGGGAAAATCTGAGACCACTAATGTGTCGTTGACTATGGATAGTCCCATTGTCTGTTGCAAGCTAACTCCTTCCAATAGCACATATTTGTCTTGTGAAATAATATATTTAATATATATATAATAATCATTCTGCGGCACATTTTTAATCGTTTAAGCTCATTTTATTTGTGATTAAGTTGGTTGAACCTCTGGCACATCAGTACTTGCACTTGCTTGCAAATGAAGTGAAACCACAACCCTAGTTCAGCAGAACTGCAGATAAATGCTGCACTTTGTTAGTCAGAAGAAGAAGTCTTTTACCTATGACTTCCTTTCACTAAATGCCACTGGACATTGTTTACATGTGAATGTCAGTCAATTGTAACATTTTCAATTTGCTAGGCAACAATCTCTAACACTACATCATCAAAAACAGGCGAATTCTGCATATTGTGGACTTATTGTGGAAACACATTCCATATAACAAGGTCTTTTTTCCAATGACAATGTTTATTCTGGGCATGATAGCAATAATTACATTGCTACTGGCTGGCACTGGTCTGCTTAGTTCTACTGCCAAAGAGCACAACTAAAGATAACAACTAATTGTTGTGTTATCCAAGTGTCAGATTCTGAGATTAGAAAGATTTTCACTACCACTGATGGAGAGGAAGGAGATGCTACCACACTTAAGGCCTGGCACAGGCTCACTCACCCAACTACCTCTCAACAGACTATATTGTGGAAAGCCACTACGTTATTACTTTGTAAAACGGTAGAATAAGAAGAAGCCCTCTGAGGCCTGCTTTAGTTGACTACTGATATGTCTACAAAATCTAGGACTGTCCCCTAATAGTCGACTAAACCGTTGACGCACATTTTATTCATCAGTCCAAAAAGACACATTGGCCCTGAAAGTCAGAAAGACAGAGCAAAA